CTGCCCCCCAGCGCCCCACCTCCCAACAACGAACACCCCGCCCACCTGCCCCGGGTGCTCCTCCAGCTTCCTCTCCAGCCGCTCCAGCAGCGACAGCCCGTCAGCCGCGCGCCCCGCGAAGCCGCCGATGACGCCGTCCGCGACGCGCCGCACCTTGGTCACGTTGGCCTTCACTATGAACGCGTCCTGCGTGGCCTGGCCGTCACCCATGACCACCACCTGGCGCGGGTGAGTCAAACCAGGGGTGAGTTCATTGCCCTGAGCTCGGCGCCGGAAAAGTGGGTCACCCCAGATTGGGTCAAACCAGGGTCAGCCATGACACCTGGGGATGCTGCGAGGCGGCAATGGTCATGTTCTGGTGGCAAGAGGAAGGTTGAGGCCCCTCCGCCCGTCTTGGGTTGAGATGTGATGGGAAGGGAGCCAGGGGTGGCGACAGCGGGACAGGGGCGAGGGGGCGGGAAGCCACGCCCGGGGATTTGCTGGGAGGGCCGCGGGAAACGTACGGGAACATACGCGGCCAACCGCCTCACGTGACGTCGCAAGCCGCGCGGCTGCCCACCTCCCCGTCCTTGCGGACTGCGATGATTGTGGTGGCGTGCGTCACGGCCGCGTGCCCGCTGCTGCCGCTGCCGCCGCCGTGGAGGCCGCTGTGGTACGACGCGGCGCCGCCTCGCCGCCACACTGCCCGGCTCAACAAGCTGCTGCTCGTGCTTGTGCTGCTGCTGCTGGTGCTGCAGCCCGCGCTGCTGCTAGTAGCCCCGTCCGCCCAGCTACTGCTGCTGTGATTAGGTAAGTTGAGCGAGCTCCAGCCTGCTGGGGTCATGTGTAGCAGCACAGGCGCAAGGGGCGGTTGTTGTGGTGGGGGGTGCCAGGCGGTGATGCAGCACCACGCAACTGCACGCCTCGGTCGGTCAGAGGGCCGCACCAGCGCAGGCGCACTGCATGGCACGATTAGCTAGCGTTGCTCCTTTCAATGCGGGTACAAGGCTCCACATGGTGCCCGCAGCAGATCGCGAGTCACTAGAGATCACGCGTGGCTCTTCTGTTTGTGCCTGGGTACAATTGCATGTAAATTATGTACATATAGCCACGCAATGCGACCTTGATGCAAGTCGCGCGAGTCCGAAATGTTTTACTTTCTGCTCGACACCCTTAGCAATGCGTTCACCACGCATGCAGAGGCAGCGTCTTATCCGCATTCGAAAGCCGGCATTCAGGAGCGCGTGACGGAGGGATCCAACGGCAGCACTGCAGCGGGTGCCGAGGTGTCCGGCAATGCAGCAGCATCCCAGCTCGCCTCTGATGCCACGTCCGCCCCGTCTTTGCAGCCGGCCGCGCCAGCAGCACCGGAGGCGCGCCTGCAGCAGCTGCTGAACGACAAGAGCTGCCGTGCATGCACCAGCACGCGCGACCTCTTCGCAGCGTTCGGCTCCCACCTCCGGCACGCCGGCGGTGCCGCCGGCCCCGCGGCGGGCGCCAGCGCCAGCACGGGCCCCGGCAGCCCCCCCTCCTCGCCCCCGTCGTCAGAGGCAGCTTCCGAGAAGCCGCCGTTCTGGTTCTACGAGGAAGAGATGCCGGATCCGCCGGACGTGGTGGACATCGGCCGCGCCACCTGGACGCTGCTGCACACGATGGCGGCCTACTACCCAGACAGCCCCACCCCCCAGCAGCAGGCCTCCATGCGCGGCTTCGTCGCGGCCCTCGGCGACCACTACCCCTGCCACGAGTGCCGCGCCCACCTGCGGGAGGACCTGGCGCGCGACCCGCCAGACACCGCGGGCGCGGCGGCGCTGTCGGAGTGGGCGTGCCGGCTGCACAACCGGGTCAACGTGATGCTGGGGAAGCCCGAGTTTGACTGTGGGCTCGCGCTGCAGCGGTGGCGGGACGGGCCGCCGGGGGCTGGCGACGAAGTTTACGGCCTGGCGGCGCACAATAGAGAGGTGGACGCGCAGCAGCAGGCGGCGGAGGCGGCTCCGGCGGGCGGCAGCGCGGCGGGTGGCGCGGCGAGCGGCGCGGCGAGCGGCGCGGCTCCAGGCGGCGTGGCTGACGCGACTCGAGGCGGCGCGGATGCAGGAGGCGCGCCTGAGGGCGGCGCGGCTGCGGGCGGCGCGGATGCGGCAGCGGCTGGGGCTGCGGCCGCGCTTGGGACAGCGGCTGCGATGGCAGGGCAGCCGCCGCAAGGGCAGGCAGATGCTGACGGGCACCAGGGGCGGGAGGGTGGCGGGCGGTGACGGCAGCCGGTGGTGGTGTCGTCGCAGCTGTAATGGCCTGATTCCAGTGCCTCCCGTCGCAGCTCAGAGCGGCAGCCGTTTTTTGACCTTGCATTGTGGCCATTTGATTTTTATCGAGTGCACCTGACCCTGGTCACAGGAATTTTACAGGCAAATGGCGGTTGTGGCGGTTGCTTCGTGTGCCAGCAACCGCCGCGAGTCCCTGGACGGTACCAGGCATTATTTCGGGCGCGTTCCGGGGCCGCGCTGTCGCACGGGCATTGCCAATCCTGGGCCGGTCGCCTGGCGGGGTGCGCGGCGCCACATTCAATAGGCAACTCAGGGCCCTGGCGTGTTGGCCGCCGGGGCAGCGGCCAGCTCGTCTTGCTGCTCGCTCTCACGCACTCAACACTCTCCGGTATGCGCATGCTTTTTGTAAATTGGCAGCGCGCGGCGCCTTATCTTCCCGCGCACAATCGTGCAACGGCCATTTCGACCCAGCCCCATTGTCAGGGCGCTGCGCTGGGATCACAGCAACCGCCAGTCTCGAGGCCCGGCGCCGCCCCCCGCGCGCTGGCCGGGGGGCCGCACAAAGCGCTATCGCCGCAGGGCGGTGGCTTGCGCCTAATCGTGCGGCGGCCGGCCGGGAGTATCGTCATCGCAGCGCCGACCAACCAATGTGGTGTGGGGTCGGGCTATCGCATCCAAGCGCACAATATCAGGCGAAGAGAGCGAAATCTGAGCGCCCCCGCGCCCGCCCTGGGAGGCGCGGCGTCGGGGGCGCGGCAGTGCGGTCGGCAAGTGTTGAGGGGCGGGCTGCGAATA